CTGCCACATCTATGCAGTTTATTGCTTAAATAACACACATTGGGCCATTGTAACGTCACTACGCCTATGACGTCATAACTGTAACATTGGAGATTGCACTGCTCCACTGTCAACTGGTGGCTGTTCTCTGTATGGATTTACCCTGACGTTGAAACGTGTTCAGATTAATATTTTATTTTATTTTATTTCTGCATGAACTGTAAGTTGATCAACATAAAATGTAAGTATATGTATTGGTTGTCATATTTTTGACATGCATAGGTGTGTACCATACATACCAATGCATGTCAAAAATATGACAACCAATCCTTAAGTAATCATACACAGTGCATTTTATACATTAGTTCCATTACATGTTTTTTTAATTAAAGTACCTTATTCACGATTTCGACTGAATCATTATAACAATGAAGCTTCGACCATGTACGTAACGCATTAATTTGAATTTCAAGTATACCGACTTTTTATCGAGCGTATTATCCGTTACTTTCAATAAAGACGACATCAGATCCACGCTATCACAAGGAGGCAAGTATACACACATACCATGTCTACGGCACACATACACACATGTACGCTTACACAATATACCTGGAGGCACGTCCTTAAATTACCTTAGCTGTTAATAGGACGTTAAACAAAATAAAACCAAACCAATTCTTAACAATCTGCTATTTATCTCAAGGTTGTATTGGTCAGCATTTACATGCTCCTGCAACTAGGATATGGCAGTCTAGTACATTGTTTGTAACTTATCTTGCTGATCCCATGGCTAGTGGATGATGTTCTCATGTGACCTTTGTTATTTTGTAGATTGTCAATGTTGTCATTAAGGTCAATAAAAGGTCAATAAAAGGTCATGTTATTGAAAAGAGAATCAACCAAAGATAGCAGGCAAACGTCATCTTAGTTATGACCTTTTGAACAGACTAACAGTTTTGGGTAGGTTAGACCTGATGAATTTGAATTGTATGGTCAGAATCCCTAGTAGCTTATGGATCTCTTGCTGCCCAACACTGGGGGATCCTTGGTCTAAATAAATGAGGCATATATATATTTATTTAACTAAAACTTCTATGGGAGTTACTCCCCTTGCATCACTATTTCTGTAACTATTTCATGTACCATTTCTTTCTATTTCTTTCTATATATAGTTTATATTTGATTGTAATTCTGGCTAGGGGAGGACTTATATAGGCATAGCCTGTTGTCCAATCCTTTTGATTTTTCAATAAAATTTACTGAAATGAAATGAAACTGATGATTTACCGTTTCGAAAAGGGATTTGAGATTTGTTTTATTATCATGAAATGTCTTGGTGTTGGCTGAAATTCAGTGCAATCTAATAACAAATGCTTTCCTGTAAATGGTTTGTGACATGCTGTACAGTGAAGCCGGTTCTTGCGTTTTAATAACTAAGAAGGGTTAATGTAAGGACAACCTTGTCTTGACGGTTTGCCCCTTATCGGAGACACAACATCCCGCAAATACAGGTAAACCATAACTCTTTTATGTGAACAATTAACAAGATTTCGTTACGGGGAAACAGTATCTTTTAATATATAATGGCTTATTTGACTTGATTGTAAAGTGACACAGTAATACTCAATAGATTGTAATATAATCCTATGTATTACTACTGTATGTGCAACAAAGGACATGTGTTATGTTCAAGGACAAACATCGTCATTGACGAAATCTGAACATGTGATCAGGTACCTTTAGGTCGGTAGCTAGACCGGTTTGCTTATCGACAGTGCTATGTAGCTTTTAACTTCACATACTCTAGAAAATCAAGGTCATCCTACTAATTCACCAGAGATAATTTACCGAGACATTCGATGTACCAATGACACGCTTTGTCAAAGTATATTAGTGTTCAGGTTTCTTTTTATCGGGTGAACGGTACCTGTATTTTTAAAGTACTTCCAATAGCTATATGTAAATAAACTAACGAGTACAATGTTAAAAAACCCGCTGATATCTCATTCCAGATGTCGATGACAATCATATCACTATCAATATCAGTAAGGTATGTTTCAAAGAACTATTGATTTGACGCTTTACACTTTGTTTGACATTAATTAATTCGACCAAACGCGTCAGAACATCTGTATACCCTTCCCGCTTTAACATACCTCGATAACATGTTTACCTATTTCATAAGACCCTAACGAGCTCATTCAAAGATATTAACACACTAATTTAGAGTAGGAGTTACGGTAAGCAAATCACGATTAGCTTCAGCTAACGCCGTGAATGATTACCTGAATGAACACATATTGAAAAAGGGACGTTTTGATAATATTTAAACAGAAAAAAATACTTTTTATAGTGAGAAGATTACATGTTGCAAGGGATCGGGGCAATATATCAAGTTTGGTTCCTGTAATGTCCCCTTAGCATTAGACATAGAAGAAAACTCCCGACCTTAGGGGCGCATAATTATATTATATGCTTTTTAATGCAAGGTGCAAATATTAAATAACATTTAGCTAGGCCTCTTAACTTTCAAAGCCGTTCAACAAAATAGGCTCTAGCCTTGTAGGTGGAATACATTCTGGCATGGCTTACTTTAAATACTTTGTAAATTTTGGTGCATTTAACAAATAAAAATTGCATTGAGGCACGTCCTTAAATGTTAACTTAGCTGTTAATAGGACGTTAGAAAAATTAAAACCAAGCAAATGATAAACGTATATGCACATTCGTGTATACAAGTGGAATTTATAATGAGGAAAATATATATATACTGATCCTTTTTCAGCATTCCAGTTTATCGTGTAGATATATTTCGATAAAGTTGTATGCTTTTAACTAACAGTCCGTGTCGTTATATTCATGCGGCAAAGCGATAACCTTGTATACACATGTACACGTACTGAGGCGTGCGTTGTGGGCATAAAATATGAATAAACAGTTATAAAACATTTGATGTAGCGCCCTTTCTAACTAGAATTAAAACCTTTGCTTATTATTTAAAAGAACAATTCGAAAGTGGAGTGTTTGAAGAAAAACATCATATACCAAATGAAGGTTTTGGCGGTTATTGTAATTGTTTGTCATCACAGAGAAAAAGAATGGGTTAATTGTTATCGTTACACACTTGCACGCTCACACAACACACATCAATATTTAGTTTTAGTTTTTTTTGTTTAACGTCCTATTAACAGTTACAGTCATTTGAGGACGTGCCTATGTGTGTGTTGTGTAAGCGTGCATGCGTGTATGTGTGCTGGAGAAAGGGTATGTTGGTGTACTTAAATAATTAGATTATAAATATGAAGTTGGGAACATTAAAGGAGTCCATTGCTTAATGTGGGCACTCTATGCTCATCTGCAGTTAGTTGTGCGTATCTAAGTACAAGTTTGTTATAGGTGTCAAGCGGGTAGGTCGTTCGAGATCGAGAGACTTGTTACGGACTCGGCAAAATATTCTGTTCACGAACTCTTCTACTCATAGTGCGAGTATTTGTTAAAAAGCGCTCGCAATTCCCAATGGTAATTGATTTGTTAAAGCGTAAATCAAACAGTATTTATTATTTTATAACATTTTTTTATAAATAATGGTCGCTCCCTTTTATAAACTTACTCGTATATCTCTTATTATAAGTACCATTACTGCTCTTCTCATCTATATCAGAATAATGATTGTTCAGATCTTAGATACAAAGATATTGGGCAACATGCATAGCCTATAAGCGCCCTCTCCTTACAGTAAAAAATAGTTTACATACACCGTAAATTTAAAACATATATATCATTGATATTGATAATTGCATGTCATTATTATTATTTTGTTTGTATTTTTTTCTTACCTATTATTTTCTTCCGTGTGAAACTGAACTGCATCGGCAGAACGTGTGCATAGTGCGTTTCATTTCGCGATCGGTTTACAAACACGACCGCTATGGTATCTCATGACACATTTATGGGTGGACGCCAAGGTGATGTCAACGGTCCCTCTCTATGTCTTGATTTTGTTCAAACTAAGTAAGTGTATTATGACACTGGACGTTCTTTCTGGTGCATCAATTGCGACTAACGGTGACGTGTGTGGAACATGTATAACGGCCCCGGTACGACCACAACTATAACATTATGTGTTGTAACAGGAACAAAAAAATACAATGTTTTGTTCGTTTAATAGCATTCATGTTTCGTATTTGCGAACATTGTCTATATGATTCCCATTTAGTGGATATAAGAGGTTGATGAGAAGCTTACAAGATATATAAATATATTTTCGAATTGTAAGAAACCAGCACTGCCTAGCAGTTTGTTTTGGGGATCAACTTAACTCCTCATCTCGTGAGAGTTTCCCTCTACCGATTTATTTACACTTAAATAGTTATAAGGATTCAACTTTTGAGCAAAACAAAATTAAAACTGTTCAATATTAACAAAGTTTTATATTGAATTACATTTGTTTCAACTTAGACTGAAGATGGAACCTACAGCGTGTAACAACGAAAACGGGGTGTCTTTGTTAGGAAACGGTATACAGACAGAATCTACGGAGGCTACTAAAACTGGCGGGGCTTTATATAAATACCGGAACAACTCCTCCTATCGTAGGAAAATACAGCTCAGTGGGTGTATTGGGTATCTTGCATTCACTTTGGTGAGTATATAGCTCATTTGTTTTCAAAAATCTACATCCAATATAATTAAACACTTTTTTTTCGTAATTTTCGTAATTGAATCGGACAATACCTTGCATGACATATCACTGGATTGTTAACGTAAGCGTTAAACATAAAGGTACACGAATGCTCGAGGAAATATATTCTTGTTTTATATTAATCTATTTTTGACATTGGATGAATGTTTCATCTTTGATTTTCGATCATTATGAAGCACGCAAAAACGATACATTAATTTAGCATTTCCATTATTAACGGACTGATGGTTAGATCATAGATATGAACACAAATGTTAGATAATATATTTGGTATTGTTAAAATCATGATTTTAACAATACCAAATATATTATCTAACATGCATATTGTTCATGTACAGGTAGTAATTTTAGCTGACTCAGAAACTTCAATCAGTGCCCTCATGATTTAGCTTAATATTTGAGGCGCTATAATTAATATACCGCTAAAATATGTACGTCACAGCGAGTCGATTATCACTATTGTTTTGTCGTAACTGAAATCCCGAAATCTGTTATATGGTACCAGGTACTTTCCAAAAAAACACAATGTAACTTTGTCTTTTTTCATGAATTGAAAAAAAACAAGGAATGTAAAAAGTTTAATCATTTTTTGCATACCAAAATATATAGGAAAATACCTGTCTCTGAATCCAGCCGTTTGACGCTAATGAAACTATCACAATATCACGTCAAATATTGCTGTATGTACATGATCTTCTTTATTCAAAGGGGTGGGTCAAAGGTCAGGTTGGTCCTTCATTCCCGGACATTCTGCAGATAACCGGCACAGATCTAGAACGAGGCTCGGCATTTATAACGTCATTCTATGTTGGGAGGATTGTTGGATCTTTGTCAGGTGTCCTGTATGACAGGTGCAACAAACATGCATTCCTGGCAACTGTCTGCATTGCTAACGGGATCACCGTGGCACTCATCCCCTGGTGCTCTATGTTTGAACTCATGGTCACCGTATACCTCTTCCATGGCGCTTTTGCAGCAGCAATGGACGTCGGTAAGGCTTGGTTTGGTTTAATTTTGTTTAACGTCCTATTAACAGATAAGGTCATTTAAGTAAGTGCCTCCATGTGTGTAGTGTATGCGTACTTGCATGTGTGTATGCAGGAGACAGGGTATGTTTGCATAATATTCAAATAATTAAATAATTATGAATACTTACTGTCATTTTTTGTTTTAAACATTTACAAAATAATTTAGCAAACGCTATATTTAGATGTATATGTTTTACATTCTGCGTGCTTGGACCCCTTGACGCAAATGCCATTTATTCTATATAACAAGGGTGACACCATCACATTGAGCATTTAAACACTGTGGGATCACATTACGTAATGCAGGCGTAGTTTGTGAGGCCGTCATTAGTGGTGAATTACACGTTGAACATTGTTGTATATATGCTAAAAATATCAGGGGTTTTAAAAAAATGTAAACAATTTAAAGAAATGTCATAAAAAAAATCAAAATTAGAAAATATATTTACATTTTGAAAGTTTTGACGAAAAGTTCATATTTTCTGCGAAATTATACCGTTCCCTCTAAGCATTGTCTTTCTTTAAATAAAGATAACTTTTTTGTTTAATTCGTAATTGCATCGACAACTCAAAAACGTTTTGAAATTTAAATATAATGAATATAAGTATGTTTTTCAACATAATTCAGGTCATAAAACCATTGGTTGCCTGGTCATATCCAATGAGCCCCGTTTTTCTGTACATGCGATTCATGGGATATGTCAAGAAACCAAATGTTGTTATGACGTAATGACTGGTGAAAAAGTAAACTTCATTCCTTAATACTATATACACATATTTATACAAATGTTTGAAGAACGTGCAACAGTTGATGTATGTGGTTTGATATTTCGGAATGCCTCATTAATAAATAATGTGTGATATATCTTTTCCTCATTCACCTATGAGGAAACACTAGTCAGGGGTGCCGTGCACACAAACAGATACGTGAACATTTTCAACATTACAGCCGTTAGTCCTCGTAATGGTGTTAAAATAGGTCAACCATAAGATTGTTGATGTTATACACAATGTAGGTGGTGTCCCCCTTAAACTATGGTTATTCCGTTTTCAGAGTAACGTGACCGACTGAGGGTGTCAGATATTCCTATTTGAAATATTTGATGTCGTTTTATGTAAAACGGTTCTTGATAGTGGTCCCATCACCAGTTGATAAATACGTCACGTGAATGCAATACAGTTTAATATATATATGTTAATTTCCTAAACAACAATACACTGTGGACGGCTTTACGGCAGACGGTTGGCCAACTACGCCTGTATAATGTGACACACATTGTATCAATATAAACGTTATTTTCGTCATATGGTCCACACATACAGACTGTACATTTTCTGATAAATAGTATATAACCAATCTACGTAATGTTAGTATTTATTGCATTGAAAACGTGTATAATTTCGAATTATGTCCTCTGGTTTTCACTAAATCTAATACGTTTTAAGCCTTTGCAAAAAAATCAATTTTAAACCTTTCTATTTGCAAAAAACTGCACACTAGATGATGTCTAGACGAACACATTTAATATATTACACTTAATTTACATTGTGTCATTTCAATATATGATACATTTGGGATATACTTTTCGGGAGTAAAACAAAGTTGTTCATTTCACATTTATATTATCGAAATAAATATCCAGCTCTTTACATTATTATCTTTTAAAAATAGATCAATTCAACTTTAGCTAAATTAAAGCGAAAATCTTTCCACAGACATATTAAAATGTACACCTGAAATGATCAAACCTGCTCTAATGTGGACCCATCTAAATATGCAGATAGGGGGAAGTCCAACTACTTTTTTAATTATTAATCAAGTTAACATAACCATCCCTCCATATAAACCCAAGTGTGCACATGGTAAATTTTTCTTGTTGGAATTTCATATCTTACAAACCATACAATATTATCTTTATGCGAACTTATTAGACTATAATTTACATGTATGTAACTGTAGAGCATGGCGCCATATTATCATCCTATCGTGTAGTTCGTATGTAGTTACAGACAATCTATCAACAGAGTTGTCTTAATTTGGCAGGGCATAGTACAATCATTCGTGTTTATATTTTCTAATTCACTGCAAATAGATTTTACGAATTGAAACATGCTTTTTTTTTGTATGGTTTTTATTGCACACACGTATATAAGAAAAGAGAAAAAAAATAATCACTTATATAAACGTGCAATTTATTGATCTTGTCCAGTTATATTCAACCCTATCTAGCTAGTCACATTATAGCGGATAGAGATTTCGAATATGCTGTTACTCGAAAATAATGTTATAATACCGGGAAATCTTTGCTGCTGTTTAACTTTCGACCGCCGTATTAAGGGCGAATTTATTATTCAAGCAAATATTGTTAAACAACTTAATAAACAAAGCAGTTAAAAGTGAAAGGCGATAATAAGACTAGGCGAATATGGATTTATCGTCGAAGGACGAACGTTTTCCGGTATACACAATTCGTTGAAATGCTTTCACAAAGCGGTGATTTAGGATAGCTTCAATCCGAGCTTTATTTGTATGTATGTCTCCAGGTCAATACCATGGCCTGTTGACCTTTCACCACGAGGTTACTATTGACTCAAAAGTTTATGTTGATCTTTCATCCCGAGGTCAACATCATGGCCTGTTAACCTTCATGGTAGCTTAGATAATATGTATTGAATACATGTGATATGATGTGTTTTGATAATTGGGTGATATGATGTGTTTTGATAATTATGTTTTGAAAACAACACATGAGCCGTCTCGCAATATTCTACATCTTCATGTTAATATTCATCATAGATAATTTACTGTATTGTAATGTTTTCCATTTTTCCGTAGGTTCCACAGCGGCCTCTTTTTCAGTGTGGGGTCGAGCAAGCCTCGTGTTTTACCAGGCCTACCAATTTCTAGTTTCCATTGGAGGTATATTATCTCCCTTGGTTGTGGCTCCATTTCTCGGCAAATCAGCTCATTTCCCGATGGGGACAGATTTTGACGAGTCTAATGGCGTGATAGTACAGAATACAACATCGTTGAATAGTTCCAACAGTGTAGAACTGTCGAATGCAATTTACACGGTCATGGCTAATGTAACGATGAATCGTTCAGCTGTTGATGCAAAGGGCAGCGAACTCCCTATAGAAGAGTCGAAGTTGTACATAGCATATTGTATAGCCGCTGTTTTAGTTTCAATGTCAGGTATACTTTTCATTGTTTTCTGTAAAACCCCGATGGAACCAGAATCAGAGGAAGATGAAATATTTATTCAATCTAAGGAAAATTCAACCAAGATGGAAATTGAAACCACGTCTGAACGGGACTCAAGCAATATGGCAAGAAATTTTGCAATCTTCAACATTTGTGTTTTCAGTGGTCTTTACACTGCAGTAGAGCTAGGAATGGGCAACTTCTTAACAGTGTTTTGTCTGCGACATATGAAGTGGTCTAAACTTAACAGCGTGTTTGCTGTTTCCATATTTTACTTGCTGTTCATGGTAGGTCGACTTTTCGGAATAGTAATTGTAAAGTTTTTCAAATCGTTAAAATTATTGTGTTTTTCCATGATAATGAGCATCATCTCGTTCTCAGTATTGCTGGTATGTGCATACTACTTTTCTGATATAGGAGTATGGATATGTACAGGTGCTGCCGGTCTGTCGATCTCAATTCTATTTCCTACTGCAATTTCATGGACAAACAAGGCCATTGCACCCGTTCTTGGAACTGTCTCGACACTAATATTTGTGACGTCATATGTAGGCCCCTTCATCAACCCGCCCCTTTTGAGTTTTTTGATGAATTCTTATGATTATATGTGGTTCTGTTATATTCTCCTGCTGGAGTGTGTATTGATGCTTTTTACGTACCTTGTCATGGTGTGGCTCGGGAAAAAAAGCAGCCCTCATCTTGACATAGTTCACAAGGTAGAATGTGACAAATAATGTAGTATTTTATGTCTCCCTATTAGCATACCCAGAGTGTAACGTTACGTATGTTTTTGAGTATGATGCCGTAGTATATTTTTGTATTTACTGTTATATAAATCTGTATTTTCTTTCTTACACTCCTTACAAAAATCAGTTTCTATGCTTATAGAATCAATTTCATCAGGATGTTTTAAGTGATATGTTTCCATTAGGTGCTTGTAGTGAAACATTGCGTCAATGGAAATGCATGTACCTATCAGACAAGTTCCTAGTTATTATTGTAAATCTTCCTGAACTTGATACCAATCGGACAAAACACAGCTGAATAAGAAGGGAACATGCAACAGATATAACAGTCTTTCTCTTTATCGATTTCAAGTTAAAAAAAATATTTAGTTCCCTAAAACACTAATCTTCTGGAAACTTTTCCCAGTATATCAATCCATGCAACTATCATGTGACTGTTCCTTACACATATTATATGCAAGATCCGAATTTTTAATTTGTTATATTTGGATATGTTATTTTTTGATATGCCAAACAGTTAAATTGTGATGCTAATATATCTTCCTCACCATAACTGTGATCTTATTTTGTCAAATACACTTCAAACCGAACAATCCCGGGAGCGGATATTGAACACTTACCAAACAAGTGTTATCCTACATAAACGTGGAAACACTCCCGGTGATATCAGGCGCTGTGAGCTGTATATCACAAAAAGGAATTAATAATTTTGGTATGTGTCAAACTGGTTTGAACTTACATTTAGTTTACAATTTATTATAAACAGTTAAGAATTGGATCGTTTTGGACAAGCACATCTTACCACCATATTCACATCGTGTCTTAGTAAAATGTATACACTTATAACATTTGCATTTACATTGATACTGACAATTTCAGAAGATATATACAACTATACATTTTTGTATTTACAAAATACATACATGGTTTGTTTCATGTATGTTTAAATCTACGTTTCACTAATGAAATTGAAATATCACCAGAAAGTCCGAAAAACATCCTCATCTCCATATATTTAAACTGCAGTACTTCGAAGAGGTAACTTCATGACTCTTGCATAAGATAACCAAGACATTTTAAACGTTTTACTCCTTTACTACGCCACCATGACAGCGGCTATAAGAATGAAGTTGATATATATAAACAGATGCCGAACGTATAACATTTTTTATTGGAGCTTTGTTAATTACTCAGAAGCTTACATTGTTGTAACAACGATTCATAAAAGTCTAGTGACAACATTGCTTTGCATTTGCCTTCTTTTTTTAAATCTATAAAAATGATCAAGTGTGAAAATCCTCCGAGTACCATTACAAAACACCACAGGGGTATATTGACTGAATATAATGGCATGTTTTAAAGCAAAATGAGAGACAGAACAAGGCCCAAGTTTAACCAATATTTTATGAAACTTTTCCTTCATGCCAGTATTGCATCCCGTTAGGGGAAATTCCATGAGAAAATAGAAAGTTAAATTGTGGCCAGGGCCTGTAATCATGAAACCGTTTTCATGCTCAAGCCTGGTATTTGTGCTCGGGTCTAATTTCTTGTCCCGGTTATGAGTGATTAAAAATATTTGTCAATGAAATGGAAACCTTTTGAAGGAACTTAAAATGGAATACTGTTTCACTGTTCACAATTGACATTTTGATCGTTTGACGTGAGTAAAGTGAGTAACAAGATAGCTGGTTGGAGCACAGAATCAATGCTTGAGCATGAGAACGGTTCCATGAATACGGGCCCTTGTGTCATAATACAAGATTGTACATGTATCATCATTGGCAAATGCAAGATTAGATAACCTTGAAAGCCGTAGCACAGAATCGTCATTATGAAGGAAAAAGTACTGATACTTATGCCAGAAACAAAACATTATTTTCGAAGCACTCTGCAATTAAGAAGGATTTTATTTTCGCATCAGGATGGTCTTGTCAAAAGCTTCCTGAATGATATACAAAGAAAATTATACTTCATTTAACACCACTATTATTGTCTTTTAGATTTTAAAGAGACTTCATTGACAATTCACCTTTAGATGACGTGGAAAGATTTCAGGCTTATACCAATGTACTCTCAGCAAAAAGAAACAGTTACAGATATGAAAGTCACTGTGAGCATAACCAATAGACAGATTATTTAATTATTGTTTTTAATAACGCTTAAAAAATTCATTTTATGAATAGCACCCAAGAGAAAATATAGAACAAATTTCCCACTGAATGACCGATAGATATGATAAAATCTCATATAAAATCGAAGCTCTCTGGATGGTTTCGATTTACCAACGTAAAAAGGATCCTGTCTCACAAATATTTAGTCTATTGTCAATGTGTCTTATGTTGACACAGTTCAATAGTATTGCTATTTTATTTTAACTAATTAAGTAACATAGAAACTGATTAAAATGATAAGCTTTTAATTACAATACATAATGATATAGGCAGACTTATTGGAAGTAAAATATATATATTATTCTTGTTTCCATTCACATAATTAAGTTGTTTTTTTATGACAATTTAGTTTTTAGTATGTATAACACACCCACGTGCAACAATTAGGATATTATGTTTTTTTAATCACTTATACATATCAAGAATAAAAATCAGTAAAGATAAGTCGTGACGTAATAGTTCGTTTTTCCCTGTTAATCGGTCGTTAATTAAAACTGTGCTGGATGCATTCGGCATTGTATTTCAGTAAGGTAGTGTTTTTGGATCGGCATCATATTCGTGTAATCGCATGAAGGGAACACTACACCAACATACTGCCTCCGGCACAAACACACGCATAACACACATGGAGTCAATTATCAATAATTGGGGAGCTAAATCCTTTAACCAAGTTTCTTAGTTATCAAAGAACTAGCTCTTGATCTTTTATTTATATTACATACATTTATTCTTATATTTTGCTATTCATTTCTGTACATGCAACGTCATACTGACACATACATCTCTATAAATATAAGAACTGTCCAATTTTCATTATCATATATTACCATTCAAAGTATTCAAAGAATATATATCCTCCTGACATTCACTAGAAAAAGGTTTTGTATTGTCAATACTTAAAAAACAAACATACACGATTTTCTGTTTACTTACAAATAGGGTTTTATTTCCCACCTGGTACGAATGCTATTAATAAACAGGTGTTGCACATTGTGCCCCAATCGCTATTTGCCAGTATGCAAATTCAATTGCAAATTTCGATTTCGGCAAATGTATTTTGGCTTTGTACGTCATTCGGGAGTGGCAAGAATACAAGCGTATAGATATTAACGTAAAATTGATGCCATGACCGATGACGAATGGCGTAATAATACCGCTTTTGCCATATGAATCCAATTATGATATTAATTAACTGTATGAAGAACAGGTTTAAAAGATGAATGTTGTGAAATCTGTTTGAATTTCATCTTTAAAGTCGGAGGTATAATTTGTGTCATAGCCGAAGGTTTACAGTTACACCATCCTGTTTCATACCCCCTCAATTTATACTTTTAAAACTTACATTGTTCCCAAGTAACCCTATACCCCTCACAGTGTGTACTGTTTTGGTGTATTATCCTAATTGTATGACATACACATCCGTCGATTGATGTAGAATTTCGTAATAAAAAATGTATAATACATCATGCAAAGAAAGTGTTTAACTCGAAATTTAGAAGAGAAAGTGTTGTCTTAAACTACTTTTGACTCGGAACATTGTCTAACGCATCACCATTTAATTTAATGTAAATCATTCATAACATCTGTATTGCCGAGTAGATGACATGAAAGCAATGTCAAAGTTTAAGCGGATATCCATTAATGCCACACAAAATGGATTCAGCAGTTACCGGTAAGAATGTGTATCGTCTCTCAACGATAACATAATATACACAACTTAGCAGTCTATACAGATGGTTATAGAGAGATTTAAAAAGGGTGAAAAACAATGTAAAACCAATAGTAACCTGCCTCCAAATGCATCCTTCACCATATGAACTGTAACGAACTAGGCCTTACAACATATAACGGGTTACGTGTAGGGTTTTAACAAACATCTACATATATTTAAATTCATCCAAATGATCAAGCAATACTGTTAAAAATGTGCCGATGATTGTTGACTGGCGTCTGGTTATTGCAAGCAAAACATTCAGAATATGAAATAATCGACGGAAATATTGGTTAGGTAATAAACAATAATTGTATCCGTTATTTGTATTATGGAAGCCGGTACGGATCACCGCGAGAACACGTTAATGCCTAAATGACAAACGACATAGCTACGTCGTAATAACGTCTGCCTTTCCCGCACAATGTTATAACGACATACCATTGCTTCTCTAGATGACCCGCTTTCATAATTATTAGTCGACAGATCCAACAGATGAACTTCTTCCAAGGACGCATGTCTGGTAAATCTTAGCTCAATAAATGGCATTTGTTAATGCAAATATGATAACGGTTTACTACATTAATGATACCGTAACTGCATATTGAGCCATTTACGCGACAAAGAACATATTCAATAAAAATCAATATCGTGTTGAAATATTTTCATAACCTCTCCATTATAAAATAGAAATTTTAAATGTTTCTATGTGAGCATGGACTCTGCATGTTGAACGAATGATCCTGAAAGTAAACTGGTGCAAAATATCTTTTTAAAATATGACTTTTTGATATTTTGTTTTTCATGTACAGATTATCTACTGTTCTACTGTAAGAATTGAATGTTTAAATTATGATAACCCAATTTGTCCTACATGTAGTAAGTTTTCTCCAAATAATTTGATCATTATGCTTTATCAAGAACAGTTATTTATGAAATGCATGTTGCATATTTGTTAGATAAAAGGTAAAGGGAAGTCACTCAATTTTGTATAATGCGTTTTATATAACTAGTTTTTTCATTGGTGAATACTATTTAAATAATTACTCAGTTGATATGTTTTCTGAATTTTTAATGGTTACATAATTATATTCATATATTGGCGAATAAACGTTTAACTGATTGGATTACTCATACTAAATTAAGGATGGTGTATCACCATTAGTATTACCATTTTCCAGTTTGCGAGATTGAAATGGACAGAACGGTATGTAGCGCATGATTTTATTGGACAGCCACTTTTTGGGAATGAGAGGCATGTATACCTCCTGTCCCTCACTGTACTGGCTACGCTGAACTTCGTAAGGCTTCAGCCAACCGCCAATCCCTCTTTCGTCTATAGTTCCTATTTAAGAAATAAAGCAGAATGAATTGTAAAAAGAAATAAGTTTTAAAAAGGCCAAACTCAACTGTTAAAACGACCCCATTTTTTAAAGACGAGAAAATTCATCAAAACTTTCTGGCGATTTTAAGTCGAACCAAATATATACTTTTAGGCAAATGAAACGTTTACCCTTCGTGCTGCTAACACAACATCGAGGAGTTATCTATAAAGGCATTGAGTCTCGACATCACGTTTTAGTAAATAACAATGGGTAATGTATGAATGGCCCATCCGGAGACGGGCGAGGACAACCTAGTCTCGCCTGTGACCTTATAAATGGTGTAATAAGTGGCTTTAAATCAGTAAAATGAAGTTTAAAATCTTCAGGTGGTAGCAATATGATCTGCCTTTTCATTACCTGTTATTCTCGTCTGTCCGGGCTCCCAGCAAAAGGTTATATGACATTTTTAAGTAAGATTATGCAATACTGTTTAGATTTTTCAAATGGAGATATTCTTCACAGTTTTGTTTCGAAGGCTTTGTAGAACAGATAGAGAATCAGAATAGATAACTGACTGTGGTACACCATTTGATTTAATGTGCTCAAGTCTGAGATAGATAGAATGGGCTTCTGCTGAAAATATTGACGCATCATTGGGCAGCCGGCATCCAACTGTAGCATCTTTCGTTACAATTGCCGCGGCGACTTAACTCAGTAATTATTTACAAAATCATGATCATATACATTTCATTTTCTCATTGATAACATAATTTTGTAGCTCAGTAATTATTTACAGAATTATGTTATCAATGAGAAAATGAAATTGATATGATCTCTAATTCGGACATATTGACCATGCTTAGTAATGTAAACAAGAATGGGTTCGAATTACATGTACTTAAACTTGTTTTCACATAGGAAATTTATTTCTATAAATCAATTAAAAAGGGATTTTTTTTAAAAGATATTATAGACATTTAAGGAAAATCAAAGACAAGTATATAACATCACTGCTGTATATATGGTAAGAGTTTGTTTAAATTCCGGAAACATATATAAACAAGTGAGTGAACGTACCTGGAACAGTGTTATCGAGAAAGCATGCTAGGATTCCACAGCACAGGTTAGGATTGGCGAGCAGGTTCTTAATTATACTGTCGTAGTAAGCATTACCTAAACAACAATTATCAAGATGTTTTACACAGTCCGACACATTTTACTTGTGGATGACCTATGGATAATAAAACATATACATACTTCCGAAATGTGCGTAAGACAGTACATACACATGTGTTCTAAAACGTCTGACAGGTTTTTGTTTAGTATCGCATGTTCGCTTTACCACATAATATTTATTATTATTATCGAATTCCTCACGGCCATCAACACCACAGAGGTCATTAGGACCAATACAAATTAGATAGAACAATTTTAAAGGACATGACATCCAACAAACGAAAAGGTAAAAGACAAACGTCAACTTGAAAAGTGGCTACGGCAAGTTTACCACGTAAATCATTTATTTGCATTTGGTATCGATTATAATGCTAGTAATCTCCCCACCTGTGTTGATGTCATGTGGATTTTTCTCCAGCCAATAGGGTACCATTAGACCAACCAAGATGGCGATCCCGATGATCGCTAGATTACGGGTGGACGAAAGCGAGACAGAATGGAGGTTTGATAGAACTATTCCGTTAAACATGCCGTACATGATAATCATGGCGCCTCCTAGGACCGGATAGGGCATTGTGATGAATACGGCTGACACTTTTCCCACCATACCAAATAGCATGTAGATCAGACCGACCCAAAGGAACACGTTTCGACTGGCTACCTGTTACGTTATATGATACAATCGTGTAATTATTAACCGAATTATGAATACAACATAAAAGTAATATGTCCCTTTATTACAGCTACAGTCGCATAGAAGGCTAATTTATTTCTTCTCAAACATTTCTGAATTTCATTTAATTTGAAATTCAGAGTGATGACATTATTCTTCAACTTTAACAACAATGGAAAAAAGGTCATTATAACAATAGTAAGTACAATTGTAATTGCAAGATACGGAATGTTTTTGATGCAATGTTTCAATAAACAAGAATAAATTAATAACAAAGCCAGCGGGTTTGATCACCTCCGCAATCGTGCCCTTTTACCGTGATGGGCTCCGAAGAAAACAGCAACGTACCACCTCAAGCGCGCACGCATACATTACCCGCATTGATTAATTCGACGCTAAACAAGAGGTCAATTGGACCTGTATCGCTCACCTGGATTTATATTTTAAGTCATTACAACTTAATGCATTAGTACATCTATATATGAAATTTCCTCAAAACCAGACAAGATCTATGTTCTAAACCAACTGGGACCACAATATCTGACATTCAACTAATCAGAGGCCTCCATTGAGTTGCCATGTTAACAGATGTTGAAATGAGTATTATGTCATATTACAGGGTGTAATTAGACAATACTTTCATTTCCATTCAACTATAAGCTTTCATAAACCTAAAAACCAGTTATTAACAATTTATGATAACTACACCATAGAATATGATAATCTAGCTGTACCATTTCTTGAACCGCAGGGGTCAAACCAGCCTCATTCAATTAAGAAATGTTTGTTTTTCCTCAATAATGTATCTGACCAAATTTTGTAGAATCCACTCAGGCACTTGGGGGATATTAGCGTCTTAAAGCAAAATATTAGCTAATTTTCCTCTTTGGGGCCCGTTCTTCCTAGCCCCAGGGATCGAACCAGTCTCATTTATTTAGGAAATGACTGCCCTCACCCAATGATGTTTCAGAGCAAATTTGGTTGAAATCTTCTCTGGAGTTTAGTAGGAGATGCGTTTTAAAGCAAATTTAGCTAAGTTCCCCTTCAGGGTCCCGCCCCCTGGCCTGAGGAGTCGAACCAACCTCATTTATTTTAGAAATGATTGCCCATCCCTACTGATGCTTCAGACTAAATTTGGTTGAAATCCTCTCTGGTGTTTAGCAGGAGATGTGTTTTAAAGCAAATTTAGCTAACTTCCCCTTCAGGGCCCCGCCCCCCTGGCCTCAGGGGTCAAATCAACATCATTTATTTTAGAAATGATTGCCCATCCCTACTGATGCTTCGGAGTAAATTTGGTTGAAATCCTCTCTGGCGTTTAGCAGGAGATGCGTTTTAAAGCAAATTTAGCTACATTCCTCGTCAGGGCCCCGTCCCCTGGCCCTAGGGGTCGAACCAACCTCATTTATTTTAATAATGATTGCCCTCCCCTAGAGATGCTTCAGACTTAATTTGGTTAAAACCTCTTTGGCGTTTAGGAGGAGATAGGTTTTAAAGAAAAGTTGACGACGGATGACGGACGCTGCGCCACGACATAAGCTCACTATGGTCCTTCGGACCAGGTGAGCTAATAAACCAAACCTCCCGATAACACTCTAAGCAACAAAAGGATTTGTAGATTTTGTAGGCTAGCTTTACAATTTCAACAACGATCAATTTACAAGTCTGATGCTGTCGTTACTTACTCTGGTAACGCCAATAGCACCAATGTTAGCACCAATAGTACTTGTTGCGTGTCCACATCCAATTGCCCCCGATAATGCACTGCAGATCCCCTCCACCGCGATCCCACGGTTTATCCCATGCGCTACGGGTGGGGGTACATTGCAAATCCGTGCGCACGCATTGTAGTCGCCAATAGAATCTAGGATTGACACTATTGTGCCGATCAAAAAGGCAACGAAGAATCCAACATTGACCATGGGGGCGCCAAATTGATCTGAAATAGTCATTGTATTTCATGGAAATACTAGATAAATGAGAAGTTAGGTGAACTATGTTTTAATAGATCCAGTGAATTTAGTAACTTTATCAAAGAAAATGTCGACTCCTAAAAGTAGGCGGTATTTACACAAATTGGTAACATGAGTAAAACTGTGTCAGACGCACAAGTATCTTTATTATCGAATCATACAAACAACAATATAGTGATAAATTGTACCACATGTACCACAAGAATACACACATTTTACGTATACTGGAGAACACGAAAGGCAAATCAAGATAACCAAGAAGCTGTAATTTATTCTGACACGGTTTGAATGAAATAATATTTAAAACTGAAATGAAAGCAAAAGCCGTAACGTTATACATTTTAAATGGTTTAAAAACACAGTCATCTCTTTTGTTGTACTTCTATGTTTTGGAAGACTTAAGAATTGTGCAATAACATTGGCCACTTATGGGTCCTTAATTGACGAAGACAACACAAGGTTCCGTAAATGTTTGGCATTCTGTGTTGACTTACGATATTTTATAAATGGGCGTTCCCTTACATTTGTTTTATCTAGAGAAGATATTTGATGGTAATTACCATCAAAAAGCTATTTTAACATTTTCGATAACAACAGTAATACTTGGATAAGGCACGCGAAACCAAGTGGCATCAGTGATGATGCCGGCCCTAGCGTCCGTCCTGGCCAGAAACTCAGCCTCATTAGGGTTATCAGTTAGTGCCCCGGCGTATGTCATCACGGCCGCCATTGCCCAGCCCACAAGCATTCCAATGAGGATCTAACGGAGACAAAAATAAGTGCTTATGTATTCATTATCGATTTTTAAGTTTACCCGTAGTAAATGCGTTATGTTTTTATATAACAAGCAGCACAATCGTTTGTTTCGAACAATTAGTAAATGACAATGTCTACAGTATTTGTATATTTGACATGGCTGATGATTATTTTTTTTATCTAAATTAATGTTAAATAAATGTATATCATACCGCGAACACTCTGTGTAATGGGTACCAATACACGTGGAAACCCTTCTTCCTTGACCAAGCTGGACATGGCATATTCACCTTACTTAAATACAGTGACAGAAGTATTGATGTGCATGCTGTCCTGGTAACAAAATATAATTATATAGAAATAGAACACAATGATAGGTAGACACGTATTAGAAACATGTATTATTCATCACACATATTTATATAAACTGTTTCAATTTCATCATTTTGTGCTAGAAATACGCAGTGTAACACTGATTATGGTTATGATTTTGTTAGTATTGCAGACTTACTTTAGTGGTAGGGTTGACCTAATAAACACGTCATTAAGTCCATATTTAACACGTGTTAATGCTTACTCACCGTTATTACAGAGAGAAAATTGACAAGAGGAAATGGAATTCACAACCAGACTCCCAATATATTGGTTCGATTGATGTTTATTTTGTTTACGTCTTATCAACAGCTAGAGGCAGGTGCCGAGTGCTTTGTTTTTTGTTTTAATTTTTGTAACGTCATATCAGCAGCTAAGGGCATTTAAGGACCTGCGTCTATGTGTTGGTGTATTTGCTTCATTGTGATAGCGCGTATCTGCTGGCAACCTTTGAGTGCTAACCAACTAAAAAAACAGTGCTGAAAGGCTTTAGCACAGCATTCCACCAGTCACATTATACTGACAACAGGTACATTGTAAACCAAACCAAAATCCTTAAATTTCAGTTGTTTTCCCTGCTTAACGTTCAGCATTTTGGGTAATAACAACAAGTGGTTCACCCGTAATGGTACCAAGTAACAATAATAGATATATAAACTGGATTTGTCTCTGTAGTACATAATCAGTCATAAATGGAATAATTGTATTTCACTTACTGGGATAAACAAAATCTGCGTTATGTAAGCGTTTTACAGTACTTCGATAATGCTTCTTCAAAGAAAGCCGTGATATTTAGAACAATGTTTAATCCCGTTTTCGCAAAAGTATAGTTTAAAAAAAATAACCTCAAGCCTGGAATAAAATAAACAATGAACGCCTGCTGACATGATTAGCATTTTTTTCATATGAGTTATGTGTTCTTCATTTTTAAGATCCTTCCTGGCTATATGTACCTCATATTTAAGATATTTTATCAGGAATATTGCATATAATCAATTTAACATGTTGGTATTAGTGGTACATGGACTATCCTTCTCAAACAATTAAGTGTATACTGTATGTATGTTTTAACATTGAAGTTGATTAATTATCATAGTCAGGTTTGGATATCTTGGGCGATTGTTTTAGGTGCTGAAATGAAGTAACTGCTGGTGAAGTATGGAAATATCGTAGGGCATTGATCACTCGCTTTAAATGTGTAGACAGTAATGTATCTTTATTTGTTTTGGACAGTTGGTATCATGACATGTTAATGGACATACCTTACACTACAATTGTGTCTTAAAGCAGACGAAAAACAAACATGGTTTGTTTTATTTGATTAATGTTTACGTACACAGCGGATATTCCCCAGTGTGCTTTAGCAAATTTACTCGAAGACCTGGATATGAAAATCCCGCCTACTAGGATGGTAGGGACAATGGTCACAGGTCCAATGAACTTCATTAGGAATCCTACAGTGCCCGTGAGTCCAACAAGACAGTGGATGATACCGACAAGGATTAGGGACCCCTGAAACTGTGTCAATAAAAGACAGTGTTTATATTATCTTTTTGTTATTTTATGTTATCGATCAAATATATATATGGATCAAGAAACTGTAAAAAAAAAGGTTTCGCGTCATATTATTCAAGTAGCGATGGAAATTTCCAGCTCGTCTGATCCGAAAAACATAAGGATAGTTTATCATACGAAATTATGTCCAGGATATTAAAACGTGTTTTTTTTTCAAAATTTTAATCTGATGGCTTCTTGAATCTTTAGTGCATTGTATTAGTGATACTTTGATACCAATATAGAGATCAATAGTTAAACCATCAGTAAATTGTTGCAATTAAACTCTGTAAATGTCATGAACATTTAACACGCAAGGGAATTTGCTTTGTTGTCAATATTAAAAGGGTGACGGGCAAAACATCCTCAGCTCTCGCACGTTGTTATTGTTTCATGCGAACAATTATAAGCATGGATTACTTCATTTCATTGCGAAAACGTTTGACAAGCTAACAACCTCATACCATTTAGAAATCACACGCAGTCATTTTGAAGATTTTGTTTCAAATCTCACCTCTTGCAATCTGAAGAAAGCGAGTCTTCGTTTACTTTCCATTTCATAGGTAGATGTCATATTTGAAGTTGCACTTTCATTTGTAGCACTCGGACTAAACCCTGGAATACAGACCATGAACAATCATGAACAGCACTATCTAAGGATCGATTTGATTCCTAAATTGCGCGGATTTTTCAAGACGAAACCGCAATAAAAAAAATGCGAAAATCACATGATTGAATCGTATTCATAATGAACAGAATTCTATGTATTAAGTAGTGTGTGCGTGTTCCCAGTGTCACGTTACTTACCTTGGACACTGCAGAAATTTGTATCGAGACGCTGCAAGGCCAGTAGGGGTATAACATACACAGAGGTGGCTCCTTGGAAAAGAGGTAATCTACGAGTACAAAAATGGCGCAGCACTTTTAAAATCTATCAAAACTAGACATATGTAGAAATTGAAACAGATTTAAATTGCAAATGCATTAACGAGGATTACAAAGGTAGTACTAAAAATTTTCTACACAGTGTAATCAATAGGTAAAGTCCTGGTGAAATGTATATCCAGGATAACCATCAGAAAACGCTTCCCTTACATTTGATGTGCAATGTAATCTTTTCCACTGTACTCATTCGTTTGCATTTCACTAGATTAATCATTAGGCTTGTATTACTGTATAAGAACTGCATAGCAGTATAGACAGTATTATAATTAGGCTCGTATTGCTGTACTATACTTTTGTTCAGGGTAATGATTAATGAAGTGTTACATTTAGATTTTTGTTTAAACTTTGGCCTATATCAACATTTTTATTTTAATTAAAAAAAACCTTATCATGTACAAAAGATATATCAATTGCATTGGATGGTGCGAGTCATACCTCCAGGACAGGTTATATAAGGATGCTTTAGCAAGAAACATATGTACACAAACATGTATACACATATAGAAGCTACACGCAAGATATTTCAAGGATTGATCTATTAGGGCCCTTTGAAATATTTTTTTGTCTTCATTTATGATTTGTGATTACACCTGATGTATGTTGACGGCTCCTCTTTATCTAATTCTATTTAAATTAATTGATCTAAGTCATATATCTGATATACCGCGTAAGCAACATGTTTTTATAATGTGAACGCGTGGTTTTCAATCTGTTGATCAATATTACGGAATGAAAAAACCCGGAATGCTCGTATGCAAAAAATGTACACTGTATATATCACTGTAATTTCTCATCACTATAATCAGAAACGTATACATCTCTGCTATAATTAAGAGTATGTACAAGTTTACAATGCGTGTAATACAATATACAGTGACCGTTAGACTGTCAAGAATGGGTTTGGCTCCTCGGTAACAGAACAGGTAAATAACAATTTGATGTTACCTGGCCTGTACTTGACACATAGAGCTGATATATGATACCGTATGACCGTTATGAAAACTCAACTGGACGTTTAATATTTGTTATTTGCATTCGTTTTGGTCTATAGCTCCCCTTCATCTGGTTTTCACACATTGGCGGTTACGTAAGTGCCCCGGGCGGGGTAAACTACGGTCCAGGTACAAAGTGGCAATGTTTACCTGTGTAGCCGAGGCTGTGTTGTAAATTTACACGTGTCGATTAAGGTCGTTTAAAAAACCCACAGAACACCATTTCTAAATTTAAGAAAGTATAGACAGAATAATAAGCTTATAGATGTAGCTAGAATATGTAAACATACTAAAAAATCTAATTTTATGTTCAAACACAAAACCGTAAATATTGTCAAGCCATTCCTTAATGTACACCAACCACGATTGTTATCGCCCAACGTTCGTCGATCGTCCGCACAAATGTGCGCAAGGAATGATCTTCCAATTTTTTATCGTTCGCACTTTGTGCACACATTGTTCACACAACGTGCACACATCGTGCGCATACCGCACATGGTGTAACGTTGTGCGAACCCACAACTGTAACAATTAACCCATTAAGAGTTCGAAAATACCAAACAGACAATACCTTCGAGGATGTCGTCCTATCATGACTCCCCACATGTCACACAATACAATAATGCATACTTGTTTATATGTGACATAACACATATTGATTGAATGTGCTGATAGTATACAGATTCGAGACACATATTATGATGTGCCTGATATGGAAACGTTTTTCATACAATTGATTTGTCAAATATTTTCGAATATCTACATTGAAAACACTTGTTAAAATAACATCTGGCCATTTCGTGTGTTCTATCTCTCATCTTTTTTACAATTCAGTTTTCGTCAATAAGTTTTGCAAGTGTCCCTTGTCATTGTTATCAGACTCGATATGACTTAACTGTAGCTGGGTCGTTAAGCAGCTATTGTAATTAACTAACTATTTACGGACGCGCCTCCATTTGTATATTGTATGTGAGACTATGTTTATTTCATGAATGATAAATAAATAATTGTGTTCTGGAATTCTTGTGTACTTTTAAGGAATTTGTATGCCCAACTTTGCTTCGTTGCTCCGGTATTAATCACACCGGAGGGGATTAGAAACTGATCGCTGCGAGCTGCACGGATTAAGCGGACAAACTGATTCATATGTTCATATCTGCATCCTACCATAGTGAATTTGTAGTGCCGCCTTAAAGTGCTGCCACACTGAAATACCATGTCAAAGGTGCCTCAAACAGTATCCTACCTACTCATTTTACTAACTGTTTTTAACAATACCAATGTTACTGTTTTTCAAAAATCACTATATTGGTACACATTCCGGTCTGGTTGCCCTGAGGCTTCACAAGATAGACTCTAAAAAGCGTGCTGTCAAATTGATTTGAGACGTATATCGGTGCTTGATTGGAAATAGATGCAGATTTTAAAATATTTTAAATTAATAAGTTTCAAAATTACATTTTCAAACAATTTATTACAATGCGAAAAATTAATTTTGGGTTTATGTTTTAGTGCGGAATTCAAGTGCTGATCCGGATATTGTTTACAGTCATATTATAGTATCCGTTTAATTAATCGCATTCCGCACATACATTCGTATTCCAAAAGGAGTACTGCTGTAATTTTCATTAACTAGGATGTTTACGGTGAGTTATTGCATTGTTCAGTTTATTGTGTAAAACAGGGCTAAGTAAGCCTAAAGTTTTCAGGTTCATCTAGGAGAGTGTAGATAATGGGATCCTCGATTGTCAAGCGAGGGTTTCTCCATGTCCGAGGAAGTTATTTTCAAGATGGGCCAGAATTGGGTTTGAGACGATTCGGCGCAACAGTACGGTGGTAAGGTTACTGTGGCATGACCTGGAAGAGAGTAAAACCCAACATATGTCGTCTCATAATAATGGATGATCCCTCAAACGTCCTGGTAATACAGTGTGGAGGGAATGATATTGATTCAGGGCCAGCAGGTGTTCGCTTAAGGAAAACAATTATTAGGGATTTACAGGAACTACATGAGATGTTGCCTCATACTCAGATAGTATGGTCAAACATATTGCCCAGACTATGCTGGAGGGGGGAAAATCAGCCATAAGGCATTGTAATTGAGGCATAGGAGGGTAAATAGGGAGGTCAAGGCGTCGAAGGAGAGTTTCCAGGGTAATGTCGTGGAATACCCATAGCTATTGGATTGGTATCCTGTATTGTTTTCCGACGGTACCCATTTGAGTAAGTTCGGGAGCGAATTGTTTCTTTTCAGATCGCAGAGTGCTCTGCAGTTATTTTTGAGGCCTGCCCTACAGCTCCTTTGGCACTATTAGTGTATTGTTAATAATTGTAACTGAAATAGTATTTTCATTGTATCTGTTTCATTTGGTTACAGTCGAAATGACAACTTGCATATGGGTCGCAAACCTGTGCGACATGTTTGGTCACTAATGGGGTGACAACTTGATGAGTATTTTGGTCACAGATTTGAGCGACGTGTTTGGTCACTGATGAAGTGAGCATATGTGTTTTATAGGACCCATACAAATGATGATGTAAATTTGGATGCTTGATTGCAGTTGCCACATAAAAACCGCTGGATAGGTCGGTTACAAATCTAGGCAATCAATTTAGTTATTGTTGTTGTGTTTTGGTCCTGGTTTAATAATTGATTTGAGTATTGGCATGTTATTGTCGACACTTTGATTCAATTCAACATTTTGAGTTCTGAGTAAATTACCAGCGGTATGGTATTTTCGAATGACGAAACATGTATTCTCTTTCATTTCCCCCATCCATTTTTCTATTGTTGGCCGAATTAGATTGTTATCTAGCTTTTGGCATAACATTTCAGATCACCTGTTTCTTAAGCACAGTTAAATGATAAATTGATGCACATCAATTTTATAGTTAGCTGGAAAGTTAATTTGGTGGATTATTTGTTCCCACTGGTCACTCCAAATTATTCTTATATATATTTATATACCTCGACAATAACTTACCAAGACATTAGTATTAAAGATAAATTAATTGTTATTGTTGTGTTGTGATTAATTTGTGACTTTTTGATCATAAGTTTTAAAATTATATTTTCGAACAATTTATCACAATGCCAAAAATTAATTTTGAGAATATGTTTTAGTGCGGAATGCAAGTGCTGATCCGGATATTGTTGACAGTCATTTTATAGTATCTGTTTAATTTATTAGGCGACGTATCAATTTTATAGTTAGCTGTTAATTTAATTTGGGTGATTCTTTCCCACTGGTCACTCCAAATAATTCTTAAATATATATATATATACCACGACAATAACTTGCCAAGATATTAGTATAAAAGACTAATATTGTATTGTTATGGTTAATTTGTGCCTATTTGATAAAAAGGTCAATTATGATTTACAAAAGCATCAAAAGATATCTTTCCAAAGGTTGTGTTTTGGCTGGACAAAAATCGTCAACAATCGACTACGCATTTTAATAAAAATAAAAAACTTTGTTCAAACAAAAGCTTGTAGCACTTACTTAAACTTTTCACCAATCAGTTTTGTAGGTTCTTTCCAATAGCAGTAATCTAAGCATTAAACTAAAATGTATTTTTACACTTTACTATACAAGTACGTATGTACATTCTACGATATTCTGAAGATAACTAACTGTAATAACTATATGGTGATCGTGTAATTTCTGTCAAAAAACATGATTTTTTAACCAAACAATGATTTACTGACAAAGTGACCTTCTTTATTCATTAGAATTCATACAAACCGTCGATAATTAAAGGATCGTTGCCCCACTGCTGGCAAAATACAAGAGTATTCCACTGAAGGTTTCCGTATTTAAACCATAACCTACCCTTAACTTTGTGTTGACTATTATTGTTGCGCAATTTTAACCAGGACACTTCTTTTGACCGTTAAGGTCACTTGGTAAGAGCAATTACAGTATTGCAATTTGAGGTCAAGGATTCGAAATCTACTCTAGTCACGTTTAATGTTCATATAAGAACACTGTTGTTGATTTCACTTTTTTTTTATTATTAATTTTCATTAAATGTTTGGTTTTCCTAACAAACGAAATGAATCACTATTCATCAATATCCAATGCGTACAGTTTTAACAGTGACAGTGTGATCCTTAAGTAAATTGAGGCCAAATCACACTGGATACAAACCCTTCACAAAAACAAATAGCATCAATCTCAAACTTAATGTGTATAATATCAAAAAGCATTTTTGAACATACGAAATATAACATATGCTACAGATTTATTGAATGTAAATCATCATACGTTTTTGGAAAAACAAGTTTACCTGATACCAAGTGTGACTTGCAGGAGAGTCGTTACGCCATTCATAAACATAGTGGAACTGAGGAGGTCAGTCTTGATGTCTGGGAAATCGGATGCACAGGCGACATCTGCAACGAATGTCGAGATCGCCAGTGATCCTGACAAGGATAGTAGTACTTGCTGGAAACATAAATCATAAAAAGTCAATTTTACCGGAGTTATGAAAATAGCATTGGATTTGTAAATATTTTAAATAATTCACGTAATATTGTAATACACTCCTGCAGGTCGGAGATAGAAGAAAGAATGTAACCCACTGCAAGAATCGTAAGAGGCGAGTAATAAGGGAAATATCTGCAGAATTAGTGATTTGCTTTTGTTTCCTCTAAATTAAATTTACTGCCAACTTTTGCAACATTTAAGACCTTTTTTCCCTCTTCTCTGTTAGTATGACGTTAAAGCAAACAATACCAATAGCTGCCTTTTCGCTTCCTAATGCCTTTAATGACAACATCTCTATTAAGCTGTTGCTCAAACGAAGTTCTTTCTTCTGTTACCTGACTCAAACAAACCAAAGTCCTTCAACACGATACCACGTGTAACAAGCTCTCTAGTTGAATTTATATAACATTCTGTTATGATGACACGTTTTGTTTGTTTTGAGATACTCGCGTCTGTTTTTTTTTTATCCCTTAAACAAATATTCGCGTCTGATTGTATACCTAAATGTATCTTACAACATTAAGTGGGATGTAGCATGTGTATTGGTCTCTGCAAAGACACCTGATTAAAAATTACAGAATAAACCAACTCATATTCTGCTAGAGAAAGCAGCATTAGTGAATAGCACATTTCCATATTTAAAAGCATATGTTGTTGCATGGAATGGCGGAATAAACCAGTTCTTCAGGCCCTGTTCTTAATTAATTACATTTCAGTTGTTCCATTTACAGGTGAAATGTTTTGAAGCCTACAATTTCAATGTCATGCTAAAATAACGCACTTAATGTTACATAGTGGAACTTTCGAATTCATTAAACAGAACAATATATTTTTGCATATGTATAACAAAAACAGTAGATATATCATAAAATAGATGAGATTACTATTGAATACGATTCATGACAAATAATAAAATGACGTGTATCAGGATTTCGAATATTTTGCATCACCGAGGAGTGCTAAAATATTAGGTTTTCGTCAATACTGTATCTATTAAAAGGTTCATCAGTGCAATAGCATGTGAATGTCTTACGTTTACCTTTTGATATACTCTTATACACAATTCTTCTTTTTAAAATAAAAATAGTTAGGTTTCATTATTGATTACTCCATGGTTGTAGTTTGTTGACATATAGTTGCAAACCCGTTGCAAAGTGCCTAGCTTTATTCTTTGTCCTTCAACGATGAAATAAAATCAAACTTACCTGTAAAGCGAAGAAGATAGACATGTATATTGGCGGGTTATCAGTGATTTTATAGAGCAGTTGTTCGGGTGTTTTGGAGTCAGACTCGACTTCAGCTTTACAGGTGGTGTCTTCGTTTTCCATCAGCATTATATCCTCCTTTGATGTCATTGTATTTCCATTTGTTTTATTGTCCTCCATCCTATCAATACTTCCAAATTTCGTTTAGAGGATAACTTTCCTTCAGCTGTATGTAAAACTAAAGAATCAATAAATGTACTTACTTGTCCGACATAAATACATGTATCCAAGTATTTGTACCGAGAAACAGTGTGCTTAGAAAAATAAGCAATTCCATCGTTAAATTATGTCCCAGTTTCTTTTGTTTTAACCAATAGTCAACAGTACATAATAGTACACTGTATATATCCACTGAGACATATTACTGTATGTTCCAACTGCATCCTCGTAATTTCAGAGGTTATGTTCACTCATGTTCTCTGCACTCCTGGAATTTGTCTTGACTTAATTGAGTTCGGTTTATTTGTATTTTACGTACCATTAACAGCTATACAAAATTGAAGGCTCTGTATGCACCACCTTATGTATGATGTCAGTGGACTAGTTTGATTCGTTGATTTAGAGTCTTAAAAGGACACGTCCCATTTAAGCGTTCCTGAAACCAATCCAATAGCTAACGCTGTACCTTCATTTTGTTGTGACATATTTCAGGGGTAAGGAGAACGTAGGTAAATGTAACCCCTGGAATTTTGAGGATGATCCAATAGCACGTTAGCACACATACAAACATGCTTGACATCGGAACATTACTACAAACATGTACATACATGTATGTAAGGAGAAGTAAAGAAGAAGTTGTTAAGAGATAGGGAAAACTAAATTACTTTCCTGTTATTGGGCTAGCGCTATAGAAATAGAATACTGCATAAAAGTAAATTGATTCAATTTTTTAACTGAAATCAACTAGATGAATATCTTTTGATGTATTTGGTGCTGTGGTCATTATTGAGTGATTCAAGTTTTAATTCGGATGCATCAAGAATTGTTATTGGTTTGGTTCGGTTCAAATTTTTTAAACGTTCTATTAACAGCTAAGGTCAGTTGAGGACGTGCCTCCATGTGTGTAGTGCATGCGTCCTTGCAGGAGACAGAGTATGTTGTTGTGCTTGCCTCCTTGTGAAAGTGCAGATCTGATGCCGTCTTTACATCGCTATCTCACTGAAATGCCATGCCGAAAGCACCCAGCACAGCCTTCCGCCCGATCACATTATACTGACAACGGGTGAACCGGTTGTTGCCATTTCCCTAAATGCTTAATGTTAAGCAGGGAATAACAACCACCATTTATAAGGACTTACGCATGTCCCGGCCTGGGGGCAGAACCCATTGCCTTCCTCATCTGGGTGAACGCTCAGAAAATAAAAGGAAGTTAGAAGTAGAAAGAAAGATAAAAATCCCAAATATTGCAATGGGCGCAGCAGATTTATTTTGGTCGCTTTTGTGTCCCCAAATAGAGGACACCAAAGCAAATCCCCAATTATGCAGGGGTTCCAAATATGTCGCCTCTTACGATACATTCACTCGTTAAAGATACAAGACGCTTTAACTAGATTACACTTACTTGTTTATCTTTTTTCACATGACTTTGCTGTATGGAATGATACCAGTACATAATTGTACTATGTGCTGTCCACCAGCATAATTTCAATTGCCATTTTTTGTAAAATCTATTTTTTGTACAACCATTACCAATATTTTTTTTAATAATGACATGCAAATAGCATTATTCATGTACATAATATACATGTTTTATCATTACTTCAATTCAATATGATATGTGTAAACTGTTAATAACTGTAAGGATAGAGCGCTCATAGGCTTTGCCTGTTGCCCAATTCCTTTGTATCTAAGATCTGAACAATAAATATTCTGAAATGATAAATGATACATTCACTTGGTAACAGTAGATGTGTTCTTTTCCCGGTCCCCCACCTGCAGGAGTGTAAGAATTTTGAACTTTTCACAAATACAATTCAATGTTCGGTCGTTTCACTTTTAAATTTCCAAGAAAATTAGAAAGGCGTTTCAACTAATGCAGCTCTAAATACATATGTATTTATAGTCACAATATGTTAAATATTCATAGACTGAAACCATTTTAAATGTGTCACAATCTAATAAGAAAAACTTTTTTTACATGTTTGTTTTCGTAGCATTAGTTCTATATCTATTGTTTTTGTTATAAAGATATAGCAGTAGGTAGTGGGTACATCGATAGTACGTTTCTAAAGCAGTACATGTTGTATTGCCCCATAATAAGTTCCGTTAAGATCTTATATGAAAGGTATTCCGTGTATACAATTAAGTCAACAGGGTAGTATATCCCTGACAGGATAATTTTGCTTTGTCCTATTACAAGCTCCCGAATGGGTTGAGTATTTCCTAGGATCTATCGATACAGTTTGTGTTTTTCCTGAATTCAATTTGAATCTAGCTCTTTTAGCAACTTCTTTTTACTATTTAATCGTTTGACGCAGGGATATTTAAGAGTCAGCTAGATTAAGAGAATACCATAAATAAGCATCCAATCCGTAGTCGCGTGGCGCAGTGGTAAACGAACTCGCCTTTTACAAAGGCAGCCGGGATTCGATTTCCCGATCGAACGTGATAAGGTTTGGGTCACCTGCCCGACAACGTTGGTCTTCTCGATATACTCCGGTTTACTCCAATATGAAGACCCCCACGCCCTTACAAATGGACAAATACATCTAGGAATGACTAATAGAAGTTGAAATAACTTGTTTCATAATCGTTGAAAGATAAATAGATTTTATGTGATTATATAAAAGTGACTGTGGTTAGTTAATTCTTTAAGCTATACATGTGTATGGTTTAAATGCATCCAGTTTCTAGTAGTTTGTAACACAGAATAAATTATGAGGCGAAATTGGGTCTCTTGTCATTCAATATCTAGCAAAGACGAGGATTTATCACTTAATAAGTTGCGGGATACGCATTTAAAAGACCATGTGTTTATATAAACCCTCATCAAACAGAAAAAAAGACCATGTGTTTATATAAACCCTCATCAAACAGAAAAAAGACCATGCGTTTGTATAAACCCTCACCAAACAGAAAAAAGACATACCAGTATTTATTTTGTCTTCTATATAGTTTTGATACAACCTATCGTTATTCAACTCGATATGCACAAACATCAAACTAGAACACTTTTATCTATTTTTGAGTCATACAGTGGCTACATGAACCAGTTGTATACTGATTGATATGTATCGCATGACACCAAATATTATTTAATAACAACAATGCTTCTGGTTAAAAGTTTTATGTGTATAGCCGCTGTTAGATTTTTTATAGAACACGAAATCTTTAAAAACGTTTTGATCTTTAAAACTTCATCGGCGTTTGATTTTAATTTGTTGAGAATATGAACGAAATAATTGAAATTTTTGAAAGTCTGGATATAGTCTTTACATTATTTATGCATCACCAATCATAAAAGAAGCAATGGAAAATGCATTTATGACGAAATTAACAATAATTCTCCAGACAACCAACCCAAGTGCAACGCCCTTTTTCAGCAACGTATTACTTTTTCACAACCCGTGCCGATTTATAACTAGTTACAGACAGAAACTGTAATTTTATTTGGCATCATTACCTGTCAAACCTCGGTGATAGTTACAAATTTTGAAATTCAATCCGGTGTTTCAGGATGGAACAGTAATTGAGACTGCAAATCCATATCATGACAATTTCAGTTACATCAAAGTATTACAATGTTTTCTTTTTCCAATTTCATTTTTTTAACTAACATCTCTATACATTTACTTAAACTTATTGTCAAATATAAAGTATATCTATAGTAATTACCAAACAGTTTCCCCCCAGCTTATCTCAATCCTTCTTTTTGTGCCCTGACGGAAGCACGCAGAGGGTTTAATTCTTAATATGGGAGGAAACTGGAGTATCCGGAGAAAACCCGCGTGGTCGGGCAGGTGACCGGGATTGAATCCGGCCATCTTAGTGAAGACGATCACTCTATCCACTGCGCCACCGACCCATCATATACGTTATGCACAAGAACAAATATCTACTTTAGATTTGACTGGAAAAAAATGGCGTCATTGATGCAAAAATTATATTGTGAATACATTTTTACCAATCATCAATGATATAAAAAAAAATCTACATACGGGAGACCGGGGCAAGTTCGGCTATCCCTGATATTTTTTGTTTTTGAGCTAATATTTACAAGTTTAAGTATCTTAGCAGTTTAGCTGGCTGGGCATTCAACGACGAAAAAATGTCGAGGAAAACTCCAACGAAAATGACTTTATTTGAGAGAGGTTAGAAAGAAAATCATGGTCTCGCTTCTAGTTATGCGAACTTTTTACAGTCAAACATGTAAGACACTGACAACTTCAAATGATAATACATAAAAGCCAAGCCAATCACTCACTACCATATTGCTGTACGAAAATAATTTATTGAAATATCAATTTGGGCCAGTACAGTTCCGGCCAATGATACCGTGGCAAGTTCGGCCCAATGTAATATAATAGGTACCTGTATGTTATTTTTGTCTACTGCATAGTGCGGCATGAAATGGCATGCATAGCTATATGTATCAGCCATGCTCTTTAAAAGTGTATGTATATACGTATTTGATGCATTATAGATAATTACTTCATAGCATATTTTTCGGTGTGCTAAATATTTTTGAATGCTCAGACAATGCAGGCTCTGTCGTACTGTACTCCTGTAATACATGTACACGCGTGTAAAATACTAAAACGAATTCCTTGCGGTTCTTAACGAATATTGATAATACCGGTCAGCGATCCCAGAACGTATCTAAGGCAATACAATGAATGTCGTCATCTTTCTCAATATAAAATGTTAAAATTGTTACTTACGCACGCATGGACCGTCTGCAACTTCCTAAATAACATTACAGTACTCAGTTATACTGAAGAATTTCATGCATATGCTTAATATGTCAATCGGAGTGATATTAAGATACATTTATATTATTGTAATAGTACCAGTATCTACTAGGCGTGTTGAATAGTTTTGTTATTCATATGTGTATTTAATAAAATTGTAATAAATTGCATGAATAATTCCCTTGTATTGGTTCAACAAAAGTTTACCAAAGATAAGGTGGTGTACAAGGGGATGTGTTGCAACATGTGGTTTTAGAAAAAATATTCAAACTTGTTTAGGCCTTTATACGTACAGCATTTTCCCAATCAAAATATACGTTTTGCACGTATTGTACGTCCAGAACGTTTCTATCCACATACAATATTAGTGTACGGATAAGGATATTTATTTGTATGGGGTTGAACGTCCTTTCAAAAGCTTATGTCATATAAAGTCGGTAGTATATGTTGACATCGCCGAAAAATAAGAGTATTTACTTATTTATTGAGTTCTTACCGGCCCGTCAACACAGAAGAGGTCTAAAGGTCAATACAAGGTCAATTAAAGACGCAAAAGGACATGTCATCAGATAAACTAAAAGATAAAAAGACAAATGTAAACTTGAAAAGCAAAAGTGGATATGGTAAGTTGTTTCTTTTTGAACATACCAAACAGTTTTCGTATAGGTTAAAATTGGAATGACAT